GCAACTGAAAGGTTTAAGCAACTAGTGGAACAGCACTACAAGGAGCCAGTAAATGGACGGTTTGAGGATTGTACAAAAGAAGTGCTACCTGGAGTGGAGGAGGAAAGAAGTAGTGATGAAGAGGACCAGAACATTACCACAGAATTGTTCAAAATGATTGTTATAAACGTGTGTAATGGTAGTAAAGTCGCTTTTTTAATTATTGACGTTATGTGAGTCACTTAATTTTCGCGTCATGTTAATTTCGCGACATTTAATTTTCGCGTCACTTAAATTTCGAGATTTTTTTTAAATCGCGAAATTCGCGAAATTAACGTGTCCCAAAAATTTCATGTAATAAGGTACTTCTTTCAGTGTTGCGATCGGTGATAAACATTCCCCAGGACTTTTTTTGTATTCCCATCTGTTGCTTTTCTTTTCTGAATTTTCGGCGGCCTCTGTCCACCTTCATGAGAGTTGCAAAATCAAAGTTCGTTATCGCTCGCGCTACATCCCCGCTTAATTGCTGTCGTCTTAATGACTTTTAAATCAACGGCAGGCAAGCATGACGGAGCAGTTTCCTCTGGTGGTCAGCGGCGCTGTCCAAAGCTGTTGCTCGCGTGGCCTGGATCATGCTCGGCCCCGCGCGAGCTCCACGAGCGTTTGCTTTCCCCCGACGTTGGTCATTCCATACCTCCCAACTCGAATACGTTTTCCGATTGGAGGAGAACGTGTCACGTGTCGTGGGTCAAAACTCACTAACTCCCTAAGGCGAACAAAACTCGCTAACTGCCTAGGGAAACAACAACTTGAACTTTTGACTCGTGCTCCTTGAAACCGCGGCAAACTTGTGAGCCAGCCGACGTCAGGCAAATGATTTCTTCGCAATTTTTTTCTATTTTTGAGTTGGGCGGTAAAACAAAACACTTAATGACTGGCTCCGCGGGAAACAGTAAGTTTTGTTTCCCCTCGACCTCAATGTTCCCCTCGGCTTCGCCTCGAGGTACATTGAGGGTCTGGGGGAAACGGAACAAAACTCGCTATACAACCAGTCTGCACAACAGTATGATGATCGAAAATTATGCCAAGGTCAGTAAGAATAAGCCTCCATTTATCAACTCTATTATTTAACTCAGTATGACTCTAAATCCTACATGAACACAAACGGCTATAGAAAACAAACAACACTATAATTATTATTACTTATTGAGAAAGTCTTAGTTGCGGCTTAACCACGGCACAAAGAGAACCCCAGAGCTCGTAAACATGTTTGACGTTTGACACTGGTCACGAGATCTTAGCTGTTCTACACAACTGTAACAGAAGAACGCGAGGCTAGTTTATGTGTGGTGCCCCGATCAATTTAAACTTCCTGTAATCGGGTGTGTTTTTAAAGCCTTCAAAATTACTTTTTTTTCTAGAAGTAATAGACGTTAGGAAGTGAAATACTGATGTTGATAGATAATTAATGTTGGTATTGAAGTTGTTTTTACCATGTCCGCTGTCCGATGTCCATCCTTCATACCCATAGTACCTAAAATGTTCCTACAAGAATAATGACTGGTCCATCAGGTGGGTCTATCAAATGGGTCCACAAGCCAGATCCATGGACTGGACTCACATTGGTGGTCCATGAACCGATTCCTAGAGGTGGTCCATGGCTTTAAAATTAGGTTAAGCAAGCACCCTCTGACGATGATCCTGCTGGTATACGTTGGATCAATAATGATCTAAGTCAGTTTATCACAGAAAATGAAGAATATAAAAGCAGAGACCGATACAACTTGAGGTGATCCACAGAGTTGGTCCAGAGCCGGGTCCATTTAACAAATTGACGTCAGTTTTTTATGCGTCTGTCCTGTTATTGATCATGAATTTCGTCATAACATTGTCAAAGTAGCTGTGGATCAACGAGGCGATAGCCACGTTTTATCCTTTGTCAAAAGTGCTCCCTAAAATAACAAACAGAAATGTACATTTAACGTTCATGTCTCTGCAACAAATTATCTACTGCAATTATCCTTCTCAATTTTTAATTTAATCTATGTTTGCATTCAGCAGACTGCTGTAATAGTGATTTCACAAACCTTGATACTTCAATATTTGCTACCAAGAACTGTTGAATGCTAATTTACAAACAGTGCTTATAAAAAAAATTATGCAAAGAATAAATTTAAAGAATGCACACGCCAAATTATACCATAGCCTGCGCGCAGGCTTTTGTTCATTGCGGCAGGAGCAAAGTAAAGTCAATGAGCGAAGTCGATGAGCAAAGTCGTGAGAGCCAGCGAGCGAAGCAAGCCTGTGAGGGGTCTGGCACGAGAAATGAGAATCCAAGAATGAGATCTATCATGGAAGCTTTTCGAAATCTTTCCATCAAAGCGAATAATCTGGTCGATCTAAAACACGAACAGGTATTCGCTATGTCAACAGGGGCAAACATTTTATTTAGCTTTGATGGGAAATTTATGTGACATTCAATTGACAACCTCCAACCCCTCCCCTGTTGGGCATCAGACATTTTCCATTTTCATTTGGTCAAATTCCTATTCCCCGAGGCAAAATTGGTGTTTAAACACCCCACCCTACTGTCATGCCATGCAATCAAATGCCCCTATCCACAGGGCATCAATGAGAAAAATTGCTTTTGATGCACAATGGGTACAAAGAACAATGTTGCCTCTTGATTCCCTCTGCAACGCTTCACCATGATCTTAAGGCAACCTGTTTAACCCCCCACCANGGCATCAATGAGAAAAATTGCTTTTGATGCACAATGGGTACAAAGAACAATGTTGCCTCTTGATTCCCTCTGCAACGCTTCACCATGATCTTAAGGCAACCTGTTTAACCCCCCACCGCCCACCCACACCTACCCCTCGACATAGAGTCAAATACCCCACACCCTGGGCGCCTTCCCACACCCCAATATCAACCACTGACAATTTCCATCTGGGACACATCAAGAAGGGTATGCCCGGGGGGGAAGTTGATGTCTCTATTTGATCGATACACATTTAGCTTCCATTTTTCTTGTACGTAAATCTTATGCTTATTACAAGTTTACCGCCTCTTCTAGTGTAAGCCGTAATCTCTTTGCCAATAGCAACAACAGCGGGGATGAAAGAGAACTTTACCTGAAACCAGGAGCCATCATCAAAGAAAGACAAATATGCCAGACCTTCCAGCTCAACAGCGCTCATGCTCAATTCATTCTACACCCAACTGCAGTCAGTTTGGTTTAGATCCCAGGCCTTGACGGCCTTGACAATAAAAGTAAAGGCGCGCAAAATGAGCGTTGTCGCGCGCGAGATCGTGCAGTCACATGCTTGCACGTGTGACAACGGGGCGTAGACTGGATTGAAGAGCCAAAGCTATGGCGTACTTCGTAATGCCTTTATTTTACTTATTTCAAACTTGATTGAGTTCTGGACAGTTTTATGTTACGCGAAATTGTCGAATACTCATAGCCCCGTGTTCGAGCGTACGACTCCGTGACTCCAAATTCTTTAGCGTGACTTAAGTTTTATATGTGTGACAAACCATGGACAAACACAGCTCGAAAGCAAAGGCTGCAAGGGCAACAAGTATATTATCGGACGTTCGACGGTCT